AAAGCAGTGAGGTACATTAACCCCACAGTTTATATTTTTAAGCAATTATTTTTTGTTTGTTTGAACTTCAGATCAAAACGTTTGTGTTCCTCCATCTGTTCCTGGCTTGAACGCAGCACTTGTGGCCTGCTGTGGGTGGCTGTGTGCTGCTGCCTTAGCTACTTCCCTTCTTGCTGTGGAAACAGTTGGGTGGAGCACTCAGCACTTGGCCAGTACCAGTGGATCAGTCTGGTTGAGCTGTGTGTTTGAGCTGCTGCTGAGAGCCTGTTTCACCCTCTTTAGGGCAGATTTGATTCTTTCACTTACTTTGATCGATATCCAGGTTGTTGTTCAGAAAGAGCCACAGATCTCTTAGTTTAGACTGCTTCATAAAATCATGCTGACGTTTATATTTACCTTCTGTTTTGTTGTTTTCTTCCACCTGGAACGCTTTGTTTACTTTGTCACATATATGCTTGTTCTACAGTATATCACAGCATTTAAAGACTGAACGGAGCTGAACGGGGAGGAAAGAGGAACACTGACAGAAGCACACGTGAGCAGCTGTAACACAGCGTGGGAATGAGCTGTTTCATGAGTGAAGTGGGCTGTGGCCACCTGGGAGACCACTCAGGAACAGTCTTTATTTGTAAATAACAAAAAATCGAAATGAGAGCAGCTTAGAGGAAACTTGGCGCTGATTGGCTACAGCGAGAGTCTGAACACAGGAGTGAAAAAGAGGTTTAGCTCAACTGGGAAAACTGGGAGAAGCTTGCTGTATGTAAACAGTCTGTTCTCTTTCTCTAGTTTGTCCTGGAAAGTTTCCCTTTTCTTTGCATCTACAGTGCATCAGACGCTCCTACAGCTGACGGGGAAACTCGTTTAGATGAAGCGGTCCGAGTGAGGCCAAAGAAACAACCACGAGAAATCAGATCTTTAAGTTTAAAGATTTTTTACAATTTAATTACCGAGGAGGCTGCTCTGTGCACATGGTAGACTTTTCTGTCACGTCCCACAATAGTGAAGATATGAAAAATCAAATGTGATCTGGTGAGAAGAAAATTCATGGAGCGCGGTCTTTGAGTCTGTCCACAAAGATGATTTTGGAGTGGTGGCTTTCATATGATCAGCTGTGATGTATCAGTGGTAGTGTTGGCAAACATAAACAGGCTGATTTAAATATGCAGCGACATCATGAGTGAAACGGTTTTCTTAGAACAAACGTCTCCACATTAACAGCTACAGACAATCACGTGTTACACAGGCCGACAGTAGTAATAATAATAATAATAATAATAATAAGAGAACTGCTGAGACTATAAAGATGGGTATTAAACCAATGGATTCACCATCGCCACATTTGGTGACTGTAAATGTGACGATGGTGAATCCAGCTGTTTCTTCGTGAGACAGATGAGTGGACGGTCCCTGCATGTGTTGGGGGTGGAGGAGGAGCAGTGATGGAGAGAGGAGCAGCTTTGCTGGGGTCACTGCTGTTTATTTAAAATTCAAGGAAACAAACAACACGAGCAGCCGTCTCCACGTTGTGTGAGCTCACTTGGATAATTGTTGGATAAGTTTACATAAAAGCTCTCTGATGTACGAACAGTCACCTGACCTCAAGCCTGCTGAGACGATTCTTTCCTACAGCTGTCAGACTCCTCTGCCTCCTGACCTCTGACCCACGTTAAACTCATGGACTAAACACACCCACAACCACCTACACACACACACAATGGACAAAAACAAACAACTGGACAACTGGACCCTCATACACACAATAATAACACGGACTGAACTATCAGCACTTTATAGAACCTCTGTAGAAGCCACAGATCTCACTCTGTACAATAATAATTATAGTTCTACAACTGTTAGAACTTGTATAGTTCATATTTCTGTATAGTCCTCATATTTATATCCTGTTCACAGCCTGTACAAACTTATAGCATATTCATAACATACCTTCATACCAATAATAGACACATTTTTATAATATATCTATATTTTTCCTAAAGCACTTTCTGCAAACTGCATTTCGTACTTGTGACATGTGCAATGACAATAAAGTTGAATTCTATTCTATGATTTCAGATTCATCAGCCAACAAACGATGACCCTCGCTGGCTCGCAGTCACACCGCTGCAGCGTCATTCCAGGCAACAACACTTTGCTTAATTAATATGTGAATAATAAAACTATATTTATCCACGTAAAACAACAACACGCAGGGTTTGTATGACGGTGTGAGGCTGGTCTTCACACACTGATAAAACAGGTGTGGTATGTGCAGTGGGCTGTAGATGGCCCCGCCCACTGATGATCTCTTTCATTGTGCTGCCAAAGCAGCGCGCGGCAAACCTCCATCATCCACCGTGAGGACGAGGAGCCTGCTGTGCCTCAGGCAAAGTGCACATTTTTCCATCAAGTCATTGTTTTCCTGGTGTTTCTGTGGCGTGTCTGTCAGTAACCTGTCAGTCACAGCACGGCGCTGGAGAGCAACACACGCCAAAGCTCTCAGAGAGCTGCTCGCTAAAGGCTAACACGTCGCCCTCGGTGGTACCTGTGTGCCTTCCGGGCCGATCCGGTCCAGAGCTCCACTGGTGCTATACAGGAAACGGATGATCTTCAGGAAGTTTTCATCTCCAATACTCCAGGAACCGTCAACCAGGAAGACCAAGTCTGCTTTGGCAGCTTTACAGACTGAACGAGGAGACAGAGAACATGAAGGAAACATAACAACAGCAACTGGTTGACTCACAGAGGCAACACTTCAAATGGGAATAAGTAAAAAGAAAAGTTGTCAGTCTGCTGTATATCATTTTTGATTGGCTTTCTTTTACTTACTTTGAAGGATAATTTATCATTAAAAACATATATTTATCCACTTGCTTTCATTTGTTCGCTTTATTGCCGTGCAAATAAACAAACCGGCTTCGTTTTGAAAACCGATGAATAAAAGCAGCTTGTGAGTGAAGCAATCCTGTGATTAATTGCACTCAAAGAGCTTTCGACTTGTAAACGATTGAAACACATTAAATGCAAAACACAGAGCTGCTTCTGCTGCTCTTCCAGAGTCATTCCAATCACTTCCTTCTCTCCTCTAATCAAACCCTATTTAAGGGTCAGCCGGTGCCGCATTGATCTGCAGACGCTTCAATCCAGCATTCGACTCTTTGTTTATTGCAAACATTTAATAAACACATCTCAGGAGGAATCAAACCGACTTTGTTCTGAAGTCTGAATACAGACTGAGTGAAACTGAAATTGTTATTTTGTTCCAATATAATATTTTCTAAGTTGATTGTTAGAATTATTCACCCGCTCTTTGTAAGGACACTTTGGTTCACTGCTGTCAAAACTGCGGCTGGTTGCAGAGCAGCTGAAAGCAGGAGAGATTTAAAGCTTTATGTTGAACTTTTACAGTTTTATGCTGGTATTATTAGGAATGCAACGATACCAATTTTTTCAAACCGATACGATACTGATACTTGGATCTGAGTATTTGCCGATACAGAGTACAAAAACCGATACTTCTACCACACACACACACACACAAATACAATTAATTGGAAGACAGGTTTTATTTTATTCTCTGCCGATAAAAAATAAAATCTTAATAAAAATGACCACAAAAAAATTTCAAGTGAAAAATAAGCACTTCTGTTAAATTATTGCGGAGTCTCCACATTGTAATTTAACAAAATATCACTGAACTATTGGCACTGTCTCGAGCTTTCAGAATAATAAATAAACACTTCTGTTTGGAATAAAATAAATACAAATTAGGTTTGAGAATAAAATAAACTTTTAAATTATAGCAGAGTGTCCAATTTCATATCGCAGCTCGAGTATGCTGAGAAGAATCCTATGTTTTCCACGGCCGGCATTGGCTGGTCATCCAGAGCGATAAAATGAGTCAGAGCCTCTGTTATTTTAACTGCCCGTGGATTTTCTCTTGACATTTTTCATCACTTTTCCAAAACCTGAGTTAAAGTTGGCTGTTCCACACTGCTGACATTTTGTTTAGCCTAGCTACAGCAGCCTCCAGTTTCTCTTTTTTATCTGGAGCTGCCAGTCTCACTCACCTAACCCTGTGCCTGTTTAGCGCGGGATGTCCCCCTAGTGGCCAATCTAAAAAACTACAACAGAAATGACAAGCCACCCTCTGATTAATGAAATAAGTTGGTATCGGTTCATGGTATCGGTTAACTTTTACGAGTATGAGTACACGCACATTTTACAGTATCGATTTTGTTTTTTCTGTTTTCTGTTGTCAGTGTAGCGCCCCCTTGTGGCATAACACTGTACAGAACTACAGCATTTTGACTCCACCCACAGATGAACAAATTAAACATATTTCAAATCAAATGCAACTGGAATATTAGCAGTAATTCAAAGACAATTTATCAAATGTGGAGAAACTGAACTCTTCTTCATCTTTTATCCTATTCAGGGTTGAGCAGGGACCAGATGATGATACTCTTTATAAAACTAGAGCACATCTAGTGATGAAGAAACTGAAATGAGACGATGATGAGATAACAAATACTTTATGAATCCCATATTTGGGACATGTGGAAGTCTTTCCTAAGGCAGAAGTTTAACTCCTGCTGCAGCAGCGTGTACCTGCTGCAAGGGCTGTAGAGGAAGCTGTAATCAAGCATGTGAGGAGGAAACACCCACTGTTCTCCTCGTCAGCGAGAATTATTTGAATGTGTTGATCTCTGTGATCGTTTCTCTGAATTTTCTGGATCATCACAAATAAGATTTATGCAGAAAGCACATTTCCACATTATGTGCAGGACGGCCGAAAGCTTTATTGCTTTAGTTTACTTTAGTTGTCAGTGGATTCTTTCTGACTCGGTCCAGATCGTCTGTTTCTCTCTAAATCACCACAGGCCTTCATTTGTGTGTAAATGTCCTTATTTGTTCCTCGCTGATGCTGACAGCACGTAAACAGCATCCTTCTTTGTTTTTGTTCAATGAATGTGTCTTGAAAGCAGAGTGATTTTATGCTGGTGCATTCTTACTACTACATTTCTGCTCCGTCCCGTGGAGAGCGCTTGTTAATGGTAAGACAAAGCAGCGAGCTCGTGCTCCTGTCGATGTTCGTGTTTGGGTCTCTCTGGATTGGTTCTTCAGGTCAGCTCTGATTAATCTGGTTTATTCAGGAATGAAGGGACATCCGTGGGTCTTTTGTGGATGCAGAGGTCCACGACTGGTTTCTGATTTACAAACTGTCTCATTTTCGATGCTCTTCAGCTCCTCCTTACATCTTCTCAACACTCTTCACTTGTTCCCACGTCTGTCCTTACACTAACCTGCTGCACATGCTACATAACTGATAACAGATAAGACTCGTTCACTTCACCTGTTAGTGTTTTTTTCTTCTGAAACCTTTTGTGGCAGTTTGAAAGTGAAGCTGGTGATTCTGTGGTGACGGGCGTGAGAAGAATGAGAACCGCTGTAACAGATCCAAGACTTGGTTTATAATTACACTGAATCAGACACACTGTGTGTCACATGTTACTGTGTGTGTTGTTATTTGTTCAGCTCTCATTCTCCTGCCCGACCAGTGTGAGGATGAGTTTGTAACAAGGTAAGGTTGGGTTTAGTTTACATGAACCTAGAGCTGGGCGATATAAGATTTTTTCATATCACGATATTTGTTTTTTTTCATTTCAGGCGATAACGATATATATCGTGATATATATTGTGATATATATCACGATATATATCACAATATAAGCCAAATAACTATATTTGTAAGATTTAAATGTGCCGTTGCTCACAAGTAAAATGTGAAATAATCAGCAGCTTGTTTTGATTTAAATATTT